CCTGTGCCTGCCTTCTAATCCATCCGAAATCGTATCCAGAGCAAGATCATATCGCACTAATTGTAAGAACCAATACTTACAAATTCGTTACGCACTGATAAAACAGAACTACGAGTTCGAAAAAAGAAAAAAAAAAAGAAAGAAGAAAAAAAAGAAAAGAAAAGGAAAGAAAAAGATAAGAAAGACCGAATTCAACTACAAATCAATGACGCAGAGCACTGTTGAATTTTCGATGGAAAAAAAAAAAAGGTAGAAAAAAAAAAAAGAAAAAAGAGAGAACAAAAATTCATCTCAACACTCGCGTTAATTAATTTCGATGCTCCCTTTTGTTAGTCCAATACACAAGTTCAAATTTATGCTCTACTTTTTATTTTATTATTTGTTCATTTATTTATTTATTTATTTTATCTTTCTTTTTTTTTTTCTTTTTTTTTTTTTCTTTTTTTGATACAATCGATCACAAAAGATCAGCACGAAAATGGCTACGACAAATGGATATTGTCTGGTTATAAGGGATAATATATTTAAAAGAAAAAAGAAAAAAAAGAAAAAGGAATGAAAGAAAGAAAGACAGAGATAGGGATATAGATATAGAGATGACGAATAAGAGAAGACACAAGGTGAACCGAACGGGCCGAGCGTCGGCGAACGAGTGAGAGGCTAGCGGCACCGTCGAGGGAACACGTTGTGACGTCAGAGAGGTTCTCCTCTCTTTTTGCCATTCCACGAGGCGAGCGCCACGAGAAAGGTGCCCGTACCACCTCGTATCCCCCTACTCTACTGTCCTTCTTCATGAGAAGCCTCGAAAGCCCGAAGGGTACTACTACTACTACCACTACTACTACTACTACTACTACTACTACTACTACTACTACTACTACTATTACTACTATTACTACTACTACCACTATTATTACCACTACTACTACCACCCATCGACTTCAATGACGTTGAATTGAATCCATATTGGTTAACATATACTTGTTATAAATGTCAAAATTAAATTTTCGTAAATTTATATATCATATATATATATATTTGTATTTGTCTAATAATATTTGTAACTTCTTTTTTATATATAGAAGATATTGTATAGAATATATATAGAAAATTTTGAAAATATATATATATATATATATATATATATATATATAAATTTATTTATCTATTTATTTATTTGATATATGTTCATAATTTTTGGTTGTATCAAAGAATTCGTTGTTGAATTTTTTTTTAAATCGAACTTTCATATTTTCGCGCATCCAGGCTCTTTTTATGTATTGTTTTATATTTATTTTAAAATTTTATGTATTGTTTTATAATTATAGTTTTATATTTATTTTTGTTTATGACATGTTTTAAGATTGAATTTGTGTACTTTACAATGTAATTTATTATCATTATTTATTTTCGAATTAGATATCTTTTTTTTTTTTTATATCCACGTACTCTTTACCAAGTGTTTTTTTTTCTTTTTCTTTTTCTTTTTTTTTTGTTTACAATGTCTTAATAATAATAACATATAGTAATAATAATAATTGAAATAAAATTTGAAAATGAAAATATTCAATAGAAAATAATAATTGTAATACATCTAGACACGAATATATTTATAATAATTTCAATGAAATATAAAGAATAAAAGTTTTTTAACTATGTATACGTAACGTATTATATTAATTGATTGTATCTATTTACGTGTCTATTTCATTAATCGATAAATTTATTAAATTACATATTTCTTTACCAAATAATCTATTATATTACATCCCTATCATCTAACCATCTAAGATCAGTTCTAATTTATTTTTAATATCATTAATACTTATTCAATGGATAATATCATATACCATTGCGATCTTGTTTTTTGTCACTTGATCATTATTTTGCATCTCCGATCTCAAAACAACAAATTTCCCTTCTCTCTCCCACTCTCTTTCTCTCTCTCTCTCTCTTTCTCTCTCTGTCTCTCTGTCTCTCTCTATTTCATTCTTTTTATCGCTAATTTATTCCACAAAGTGATTTATCTTATTGTAGTCTTATTTTTAGGATACTAAAGCGCGTGCCAACGAAGGGATAGAAACGTTTTATGGTACTGGAATGTTTTTAGTGGGCGGTCAAATCTATTTTGGAGAATTCTCTCCCCTCTATAGATATATATATATATATACCTTTATCAAACGCAAAGAAGGAGAATAAATAAAAAATAAACAAAAAGAGAAAAAGAAAAATAAATAAATAAAACTAAAAAAAAAAAAATCATAGGATCTTGGAGACGAGTTCCACAAGAATTTATACTTAACTTTACCAGAAACTCGAAGTGTCTTTTGGTGAAAAACCTTTTAGAGATATTTGATCTCTGTCTATCCTCCCTCTCTCTCTCTCTCTCTCTCTCATTCTTTCTTCCTTTTTCTCTCTTTTCTTAGCGCAAAACTGATTTCATTCGGGATTAGGCACCCCTAAACGTCCGTAGCCGCTAGGATTTGTGCCGGTGTTGCTGACCTTTTTACGAGCCACTCTATTCTCGGCTATTTTCAACGTTTCTCTCTTCTAATATCACCTTCACCTCCTTCTCAACGAGATCTTTTTATTTTACTCTTCTTCTATCTCCGCAAAATATGAAGAGGAGAAAGGAAAAAAGAAAAGGGAGAAAGAAAAGAAGAAAAAATTTTAATAGATACAAAAAATGCCATTATTCTTTAGGAATCAAAATTTATCAATAAATATTTTAATTAGTACTTAAAATAAACCGTAAATATTTATCATAAGACATCAGTACTTAATATAAGTGATCAGTAATATACTTATATTAAGTACCGATTAATATGAAAACTTAATATATCAATGAAAATATTTATAAATATAATAATTTGTCAATATTTCATATGTATAGTCAATATTTCTAATAAATCTAAATGCAATCAAAATGCAACCCTGTAAACGTAATTATTTATACTAATCACTTGTATTACGGACTGATATTTTATTACAAGTACTGATCAAAATATTCATATATACTAACTATTTGTTTCACAAAATATTCAGAAATAATTAAAAAAAAAAAAAAAAAAAAAAAATACTGACTAGATAAATATGGAAGTGACAAAAAAAAATAATAACATTTTCCTTGATTATATATACTATATTTCTAACTCTTACGAGTATAATTATTATTTTAATTTTATTTTTTCTTACTTCATATTTTAGTTATTCAGTTTAAAAATATTTTTTTATCAAAATAAGCATTGCATAAATCTATCACTCTCAATCAAATTAGGATCTTACTTATTCAATAGTGATGCATTTGGTATAAATCATATTAAAAAGAAAAAAAAGAAAAAGAAATATATATATATATATATATATATATATATATATATATATGTATATGACATAAGAAGAACGAAGAGAATGGACGACGACAACAGCTGAAGATATCATTATCAGTCATTTTTGAAAATCTTCTGCAATCTTCGGGTATTCTCGACTATCTTCGACTATCTTTGGGTTTCTTCGGCAATCTTCGGTTTTTTTCCATCGTCTTCGTCGTCTTAATCAATTAAAATTTTACGTAATATATTTCCTGGAACGTCCAATGTATAGATCTTTCAATCATTTCACTCTCTTGATTAAGAATCTTGATCAAAATCTTCGATCTCGATAAACATCAGTTTTAAGCAAAACATTAATTTCCAAAGATCAAGGTCATTTCAAGTTCATATAATACATATCTGAAAGTATTTTTTTTATCAACTACATGATGCAATAAAAGAAATGTAATTATGTCTTAAAGAAACACCGATGTTCTTCATAACTTCGAAAAAAATAACTTTTGTTCTTGATAACTCCGAAAAAAGATATACTTGCCAGACATTGATCCTTTGATATCATACACATTACGAAAAAAAAATATTTTTTGCATTACAATAAGCCAAAGAGATATTTAGGTGGTCTTACTTAAAAGGACCACCCTGTATATACACATAGGTACGTGTTATATCGCATATGTACCAATATATATTATGAAGCATAATTTATATCCAAGCCATAATCGTTATTTGGTTAAAGGCATTCGTTACATGAGTTCGTATGCGTTGGACGTTCGCAAGAAGTGAACACTTTCACGCGCGGATACCGAGGCTTAGTAAATATCATGGCCATATATTCTATTCGCTCTTCTCCCGTTCGATCCTATCCTACTACGAAACAGATAGAAAAATTTTTTTACGTTAGCAACATTCATACCATCCTCGTAGGTCGCAATATTGGCAACTTATACGAGCACCAACAACTTTGGTACTCGTCTTCTCAATAACTATAGATATGTAATATTTGTGACGGAAAAAGAGAAAGAGAAAAAGAATGAGATAGATTAAATGTATATGGAATATATATATATATATATATATATATATATATATATATATACGTATATACATATGTATATATATATATGTGTATGTATATGTATATATAAATTTGTGGAGCTCCATGATACTTGTTTGAGATCGACCTCGCCTCTCCTGCATTCCTGTCGATCGATTGCCCTTTATTAGAACGGATCCATCCGTTTATATACGACATAAGCCATCATGTAGTTTCAACCTTGACGAATCGAATAATTTATCAAAGTTTATATTTGACATGTTTCGACGTACAAAGTCATGTATTTTTATATAATCAGACGTTAATGATATTATTTGATTTACATATAAATGTAATACTTTGCGAATTGATTAATAAGACATTTTTTTTTTAAATGAAAATTGTAGAAAAAAAGTTTATGCTTTAGGATATATAGAACGATATCGTCGTAAAATTAATATGGTATTTAAATATCTCAGGATTACGGATTAATTTAATTTTATTCCGACAATTAAAAAGATCAAAAGAATTTTATATCTTTGATATCAATATTTATCAAAGTATTAGAAAGATTTATGATTTAGAATATCGTTGAGATATCGTTATTTATCTAACTGCATGAATATATGTCATACAAGATTGAAGGTGAAAACCGGAAATACGAAAAATTCAAGCATATTATCTTTATAAGTTAAAATAAGAAAATAAATAACAAAGATCGAAAAATATTGAATAGTTTCAAATATTACAGAAAAAATTTCAGTTTGTAATAAAAAAGCTCATATAATTATAATGAGCCATTCATCGTTAGATCGGGCTAATTGATATCATACATTTCTTGATTGATAATTTGATAATAAACAAAAAAATTAAAATCAAAAAAAAAAAAAAGAAAAGAAAAAGAAAGAAAAGAAAAAATACTAAAAATTCAAGACAAAATTGATAATTTGATAATACATGTATCGAAAATTAATAAATAATAATTAATAAATATGTCAAACGTTCAAATACCGTAATAATGACTTTTATACGGAATATTTTTTACACAAGATGTAATCGAAAGTTTCCAAATTAATCCTCAAACATCAATTCTTTATTTTTGAAATATTTTATTAGCCTTGTAAATTAATGATTAAACTTATAATTGTTTACGATCTAAAAGATGAAAAAAAAAAAAACAAAAAAAAAATAAAAAGAAAAAAAGATCAGTCCAAAGAATCTGAAAGAATGGCAATTAAAGTTACTTTTTTTTTTTTTAAATCACCTAGGAACTTTAAGCCCACCATGTATTTCA